AATGGCGGCCAAAAGAGAGTGAGCAGCGGTGGCCAGTAGCCAGTAGCCAGCGTCATCATCATTAGTGAGTGCCCGACCGATTCTGCATCTTTGTATCTCCGTGTCTCTCGGCGGAATGCATCTCTGCGGTTGCCAATCAATAATTTGCCTGGTGAATGCCTCCGCTGGCTGTAATTGTGTTCTGGCCTCTGCCTCTCTTTTTGTGCAATTTTCATTCATTGCATTTGGCAAGCGACTGCCAATAAGTTGGCTTCCACCGGTCTACAGAGAGAGAAACAAACAGCCACATAAATATTCTGTAATGGTTTTATGTAGAAGGTCGAGGAAAAATGCCAGCGTCCTGAAGAAGTTTTATTTTCTTTCTTCATTTTAGTAAATTAATCAACAAGACGAGACAGTCCAATAGTTAAAACACAAAGAAACATAGGGACAAATATTTATGACTAACACTGCACATTTCGAGTGCTGCGTACCAAATATAAATATTATTTAGGTTTCTGATCATTTCATCTTGTTTTACCTAATTAATAGCCTGCCACTGTAATAGTTATTCTCTGTGTAGAGACGACGGTTTATGGCAGCGGCAGCTTCTATACAGCATTTAATTGCACGTTTTGGCCAGCACAACAGCCATGACAGCAGCAACATCAGCAGCAGCAGCAGCAACAGCAACAGCTACGGCAGCAACATCAGCCGCAATGACAATGCCAGACACAAAATAACCAAAGGCAAGTTTTTGTGGTTTTGCCAGGTCGCTTTTCAGCTGGCTCGGTTTTGCCTCCTCTTCGGTTCTTCAACTTGGCCAAGTCGGGGCCGTAGAAAATGTCTATATTATACAAAATATTCGTCTGTCATTAAAGCGGAAGAGTGGTGGGCAGGGGCAGGGACAGGGGGCTGAGGGGGCGGGGCCGAAGAGAATGGACCGTAATGAGTTTGTGGTTAGACTGAATCTGCCGCAGAGCATGATGTATAAGTACTCATATTTATATTTGTTCTCGTGCAATTTGCAGCCATACAATGTTGGCTGCTTTCCACTCGGTGAGTACTTCGCGTTACCGGACGTTCATAATCACCATTTATATATTTTCCACTGACACAAATAGCAGCTGGGATATAAATGTGAGACAAGGAGTTGTGCATTCGATTTGCGCCGTTTTCAAATATCTGGGGGAAAATATTTGTAATTTCATTTAGGGTCTTTGTTTTATTTCAGGTGGTTCAAGATTAAATCTACTGGGTTCTCTGACAATGTGTTTCCGTCCGTAAAAGACCGTAATCTTCGGCTTTTCTCGGTGTAAATAGTTTTTTCCCACCTCCATGACCTTTTGCCTTAATGTTTCTTGCCCTTGCTGCTGCAACTAATGTGTTTTCTTGACCACCTTCACCCCCGCCTCGTTTTTCCACGCCAAAAGGGGCTTGGACCTCGCTGTGACCTCCGAATGGTGTTTGCAGCCCAACACATTTCAGCATGCTAATTAGTTGGGGGGCGGAGGGCGAATTCCCGCAAAGCTTTTTGCGCCCGTTTCCCCATGCGTGTTCATTATAATAATTTCTCGTGCGTTTGTCTGGTTTCTGTATTTGGCCGGGTTTAATTAATGATTTGCTAAGCTGCCAGATACCACTCCCAAATGCGCTGTGTTTCGCTTTTGTGCATGCCAGGGGTTAATTGGGTGTCAGAACGTGGGTTAATTCAGGCCACAGAGAAAGAAAATTTGTGTGTGTATATTGTCATACAATTGTTTTCTAGGGCACACAGAAGTGTATTCTTACTATGTGCCCCAGAGATTTAATATTTTTGCCTGGTAAATTTAAAAACCAAACCAAAAATCATCTATAACCTAGTGGAAATTGTTTCTTACTGTGCATCTGCACATCCCTTGGCCTGCATGTCCGATTGCGGCCAGAATACACGGCATGTGCAATTTAAACGCGTGTGCTTTCGAGTGTGTTTGTGTTGGCAACACGTGGCAGCGTCAAATCTGAAATGTAAAATCCGAAAGCGGGGCGCCCCAATCAGCTCGCACATTGTTGCAGCTCACTGGGCGCTTTTGTTGTGGCGACTGCTCTTTTCCGCTGCCACGTTTCGTTACACAAAAGGCCAAGTTACACTAGTGCCCAAGAAAAGCATAGACACACATTTGCAAAGCTTATATATTTTTTTTACGATTGCCAGTATGCACATGTTTTTTTCTTGCCACGCCACGCATTTGCCATATTTATTGCATATACGATACGAAATATAATCGAATACTCTGCCCAAAAGGTAGCCCAGGTATTGGTTAGATCAGTAAATCAAATTAAATTGTTTTATTTATTTTTAATAATTTAACAGCAGAGATCAAGGTAACGTAAAAATATGTTTAGTATCAAGATTTATGAGGAAAAATCATTATACATTCTGCTAGTTGCAATATAATTTCTAAACATCCCTAATCATTATTTTTTATCGACTTAAACTATCTGATCGAATTTCGGCATACTTCACTTTTACACTTTTAAGAGCTCCACGTAGGGTATCTGTCTCATTCATATCAGAGCTTAACGAAACGATTCCCCCACTTAATATTTTCGTTGTGCGCTCTCCGCACCAAAGTCGCATGTGCATTTGCATGTGACCGATTGAGGTTTATGAATATAAATTGTTTGTTAATTAAATCCAACAACAATAACGGCCAGCAGGATCAACAATGAGGCAGACAACTGTGGGATTGGGATGGTTGGATGAATGTTCGGATGGTTGCTGGGTTGTTTGGATGGTTGACTGCTCGGTTTGGCTAGACTTTAATACCGGAAATTGATTAAAAGCTCATTTCATTTGCCTGCTGTTGGCTTATGTCGGAGTTGCAATTGTTGTTGCAACTGCAGTGGCAATTGTAGTTGCAGACCCCTCCTCGCTGTCATAATTTGCCGTTTGAAATGATTATGGTGCTACACACACTCGGTAATTGCACTTGCTGATGCTGCAGATGTATTTGTTCCAGAGGAAATATCCATGCACAACATGTTGAATTATGTGGCTGTTTTTCGTGTTGCAGTTGTTGTCGAGCTTGTTAATTCACAGACTGACGCTATACCTTTCATTATTATCGAACACCCTGATGTTTTCAAATTTAAATGGCGAAAGATGATTTGGGTATTATATGACGAATATGTTTTACCTTTATTAATTAGTCCAGAGTCTTAAAGACCTTTTAAAATAATCACTGCCAAGACAAAAGTGAAATAGCGCCCGTTGATTTTCGATCTATCCGAATCCATACGAGAATCCAAACAGTACAATTAGAATAGAAGTGGAACGCTAGTATTGAAATCTAAAGAGAAAGGGCCTTAATTTTTCTATCCTTCCTTTGCCAGCTATGTAATAAAGTAATCAGATTTTTGTTTAATCTGATTTGAAATTCTAAAATAAATAAATAAAAGTTTCATCGTAGAGTAGAAGGGAATACAATAAAAATCAAGGAAAAATCAAGCTTGTTTCCTATTGAATTCACATTAATTTTCCAATTGTTCCTATAGCAGCTATATTATTCGAATTCTCGAAATATTCCCATGAGTTTAAGATAATATGTCAAAAAACACCAAAACTATATTTTTTTTCATTTTTTACGATTAAAAAGACTTTCAAGAAAGTTTAAGCCCGATAGCTGTAAAACTGAGTGACTGGTTTGCGTAGAAACGGACGAACAGGCGGACGGATAGACGGACGGACAGACCGACGAATGGACATGGCTAGCTCGACTGTACTTTATAGCAGCGATCGGCTCACACATACAATAACATTTTGTTTAATAAATTGCACTGGGCAGATCATCAGAGTGTGTGTGCAGACCGCTGTTCTACAGTATACGTAAGCGAGCAGCGGCTGGGCAGAACAAAACCCTATGCTCACTTAATATCAAAATACCCTCTGCAAGGGTATAACTACTCCACATGGCTTCAAAGCACTATTCCACACAATATCACACTCTAAGGAGTCTTAAGTTAAACCTGTTAATTTACAGAAATATATTCAAAATTATAAATAAAAAGATCGCCGGATGCTTAAAGCTCTGGTCATTATGGCCGGTATTTAAAGATTTAAGAAATATACAATTTTATTTATGGGCCTTACTATTTGGCTAATTACAAAATCCCGTGATTAATCGAGCGCGTCTACAATTCTTGTAATTGAGTTGAATGGATCTGAGACAGGTTGCCTAATTGCAGGATTACTCTGAAAGAATGATTAGAAAATGCTTTCATATCTGCCATTTTGCCGGCTCGCTGAACTTGCGTATTCTGCTCGAGTTGCTCGGAAAAGTTATCTCATTTGTTTTTATCGGCCGAGGCCGGTTCGTTATGCCAACAACCCCCGAAAACACATTTATGGCAACTGGGAATTATTTATTTTCCAAAACATTTGCCCAGAATATGGCCATGTAATGTCCAACTTGAACTTTAATGGGTTTTCCACTTCCCCTTGCCCAAAAAGGCTGTTACACTTTTCCTCTCGCTCGCTCGCGCGCCTTTTCTGGCCCCATCCTTCTCCCTCTTTTGTCATAATTTTTCTGCCAATTTCAGCCACTGGGAAAGTTGGCCGACTCTCGCACTTACACGTATTTACGTTGCGATTTTTATTTCCTGTAATTTTTACGATATTACTTATTTTTATGCAGCTCACAGCAGATCGGTGGGGGGACGAGGCCCATATATATGGCAGGGCGGTCGGGGAAGCAGCGTTTAGCTTTCATTTTGAATTTTATGCCATTTTTATTGCTTGTTGTGCGCCATGTTGCTGTCGTCGTCGCCGTTGTGGATGTTGTTGCCGTTGTTGATGTTGCTGATGGCAGCCGCATTATTGGTTTTTGAAACTCGAGCTGGGCCACGACAGAAATTAAAATAAAAGGCGAAAGGGGAGTGGCGCCTGGAGGCGGAGGATGGCCAGAACAAAGGAACAACAGCCACAGCCACTCAAAAACCCAGACACGGCAGCAACTCGTTTCCAAATTCCCCACAGCAACATTAGTCAATTGGAATTCGACGCCGGTTAATATTAATATTTGCCCGTGTGCGCCTTTGTTGCCATTACGTATTGTTTTTACAGTTGCCCGGCTTATTTATTTCTAGCATTTGTTATTATTTAATTTAAATATTTATGCAGCGTGTCTGGCGTGACTATGGCGCATTATAATTACCGCAACAACAGGCCGATAAGCGGGCGAGCAGACCCGTATACTTGATATTTTGCTATGGTCTCGTTTTCGAGGTTTCGTTGTAATGTTCGGCTGGCTGCACCACCGCATTATATGGGTAATGGCTACGTGCTGCTATGGGCCCGACCTCGTTAAGTGGGTTGTGCTCCAATCCCCCGATCTACCGATCCACAGCCGATCGGTATATAGCAACCCGTGTGGGCAGACGTTGTAAGTATTAACATTACGCTGCATTACAGTCCATCGCCGCGGTGTCCCAATGCAATTGGCCAATTATCGGGTATTTCATGCCGCAATTGATCCCAGACTTTCGTAGCCATCCCAGGTGCATTTTCAAAGTTGCGCCTAAAACTGATGTAAATTTTAAATTAAAATGTGTGCAACATAAGTTATGCAACCAACATGGCAGCAACTTATTGTAGTTTTTTCTTGAAAAAAAATAAAACTATTGCATAAAAATATTATTCTCGAAAGCTCCAAACGATTTAGAACACAAAAAATTGTTTAATTGTTTTTTTTAAGCAATACAACTAATTTTTAAAGTTTAATTAGTATTTTACAGAAATTATTATACGTTGCCTGGTTTTTACTACCTTTCCGTTAGCCAATCAAATTATTGCCTTCTTGAGGTCAAATACATACAAATTAAATCTAATAAGTCATCTCACGTAGGGCACTCCCATATTTGTATCCAATTTGATTGAAAAGACGTTGCACTCTAGTTAAAAAAGAGTTCTGTGGAAAAACCATCCGAGTGGATTATCAATTTATATAAAAGTGTAGCCACTTACCTTCCGGCTCCATTCCCTCGCACTGAACATTGTGTGTCTGCAATTAAATACACATTGAAACCTTTGTGAGCCCGATAATCATCTGGATGTCTGCCTAGCCACATGCGTTGTTTGTTAATGTCTGCGCCATTATTTGATTTATATTTTCCATATAAACACTCCGTTGCCCGTGCTTCTGCTGCTGCCACTGCCGCTTATTGATGTTTGTCCAACTCGCAATCATTCAAAGACCAAACCAGTTGGTCACTCGACCATTTCCAGTAAACTCAGTTAAGTGGGGCGGTGGGAGGTGGGGGAAGGAGGGCGGGAAGGCAGAAAGGCAGGAGGAGCGGAGACAGTCACTCGTCAGTGGCCATCGATCAGGCGATGGTAAATGTTTTTCCAATTTATTTCCATGCTTTACTTGGCCGACGAGCAGCGCTAACTTGGCCAGGGACTTGGCTGCTAGTTTCAGTTTCAGCTTAGTTTTTCGTGCAATTAAATTGAGTTATTTGCGTTTTGTCTGGTCAAAGTTCTAGCCGGTCTCTGTCTCTTGGCCGACTCTCTGCACGTTAAGAAAATAAGCAATATAACTAATAGAATGTATTTATAAAAATAGTGTAGCTGGCTATAATTAGTATAATTTTATTTTTCTGATTAGATTTGATATGAGATTGTTATTTGGTTTCACTAGTTTACTAATTAAGTTTTTGAAAATACATAGATAAAAAGAAAGAAAAGAACGGAAATCAATTTTCTTTTTTTAAAAAATATTTTTAAGACCTTTTCTTTGGTTAACTAGTGTTATCTAAAACTTCAGTAGCAGTATTTTTTGATTACAAGATAGAGAAAAAAAATCCTAAAAATATAAATTTTTCTTGCTATATATTTAAGTTAAAGGTGCTTATTAGTCCAAGTGTACCAGCCGTCCATGGAGTCTGTCTGCCTGTCGGTTTCTGCTTCAAATTGAATTGGCCTTTGTGCGGACACTCGTGCACTCATGTATGGCATACATGTTCCCATTCCCCATTCGTCCACACAATAAAATCCAAACAGAGCGACGCTCATTGAATAAATAATCGAATAAAATATGCTACTGCTGCTGTGCGACTTCTTCGCATTTCTGCTCTCTTTTTTGTTGCAAAATATCCAATTTCCAATTTCAAATTCCAATTATATTGCTCTACGCTTTTTATTATTATTATTGCTCTTCTCGTTGTTGTTGCTGTTGTTGGTGTTGCTGCCACTGCTGCTGTCGCCGGCAAGAGCAATGAAAAATCAATATTGACATGAATGTTGACTGGAGCCGGAGAATCTGAATTTCTGCCACTCACACACTCGCCCACTTAGGCGAACAGCTCAATAAGGACATGGCTGGCAGAAGGACGGAAGGGAAGTTGCAGCCACGACAAAGTTACAGCCATGTCTTGGCTCTTGGCAAACAAACTCATACCCGTCATCATGGGAATGTCCATAAGAAGTTGCCACATACGCACACATTCTGCCATTTTCCCTGTGCAGTCGTGTGAGTGAGCCATGGAAATGCAACTGCCCCGAACATCCCAGGGACGAAAAGTTCCGCAGCTCAAATATTTGGTAGCTTGGCTGGTCTGAGGATATATCCAGCCCATATAGGGGTTTAAAGAAGTTGGCAACTAAATATTTACCTTTAATTTATGCAAATTTTAAGTTACCATTTAGGCCTGAAAACGAGCAAATTCAGTTGTTTTTGTAATGAGAAGCTTATAAGCAGTCAGCACTAGAACTGAGAATAATATTTCTTGATTCTTTGTTGAAAAATTGAATTTAAATTAAAATGTATCAAAGGATAAAAATTCAAAGTAATCCGTATCTTAATATTTTATTCCTGAAAATAAGACTTTTTTAACAAAGACTTATTTAGCTTTTGGGCCAAAAACAACCACCTGTATTTTAAAAAATTGCAATGTTATTATGACATTGCGCATACGCCCTGTTCACAGGTCGCCTCTGCTCTTCGTTTTTCAGTCCGAGTTCTTTTCTGTGAAGATTTCCTCACTAATTGCTGCCATGTTACAAAGCCAAATGGTCACATCCGCTGCCCAGTTCCCTTCCGTTTCGCCCTGCTCCGCAATCAATCGAAAATAGTTTTCAGTCTTTTTCCCTTTTATACGTATTTCAGCTTAGTCAAACCGGAAATGTTGCTCGGCAGCAGCATCCACGCCAGGCGGAGGCAAATAAATTGCTTAATTACAAATATTGTAGGCAGCCTGCGAAGCTGCAAGGAAGTTGTCCCCGAGAACTTCCCAGGCGCTGTGAGAGAAAAATATGCGCCAGTGACTGTCATGCAAATTAGCAAGAAAAATTGCATGCCAAATGTTGTTTGTGTAGTCGCAGCCAAGTCAAATGTCTATAATTTAAGCAGAAAACAAGCGACAGATACATGCAGCAATAGCAACAGCAGCAGCAGCAACTGCAACTGCAGGCAAATCTCTTGCAGTCTCTTTCCTTTTTGCTGCTGTTGCAAAATGTATACACGCGGCTGCCGCAACAAAAAATAAATTTAAAAAAGGAGAGAAAAAACATTACTTGCTGTTGCTGGCTAATTTGCCACAGCAGGCAATGGAAATTGTTGATGTGCAAAAATGTTGCTGCTGCTGTTGTTGTTGTCGTGTAAATGCCATAAATTAGTTTGTGTCAACAGACACAGAAAAGCGGAATTAAAAATTGCGTTTTATTTATTATTTTATTTTTACTTTTATTTTAATGCTTTTGGCTTTTCCTCCTCTTTTTGTGATGGCCACTGCAATGCTTCGTTTCTCCCCAATTCGATTGAATTTATTATGCTGGCTGGGTCTTGGCCCACGGGTTTTAGATTAGATTTGACTTTGCAGTATAGTTTGACTGGTTTTTGCAGCTTGCATATTTGGCATTGGCATGCACACAAAATTATTGGCCATATATTTCGGCGCTTATGGCCGCACAAGCTGTGAAGGTCGTGTGGGTGTTTCTGTGTGGGGCGGGAAAAATGGGAAATCCGATATGCACCAGAGCCAAAATCAATGGAACCCTGCCACACACATCCACTCGCTCACAGAGATTGGGAATATTGATAAATGCCATTTGAAAATGTTTTGTAATGCCCGTTGGACAATAAAAGCAAATTGAATTATATAAATGGAAAATGCTTATGGAAATCGCTGCTGGCTCTTGCTGGAATTTCCATTCGCAGATGAAGTGGCCTGTTTTTGGCAGGATGATTCTCTGTGGCATGTGATGTAACATCGGCAGTGTCGCAATCAGCGTAACGTAAAAAAGCCCTGATATAAAGCAATTTATAAATGTTTAAACGAAGTTTCTACTCTGGTTAATTTTCTGGCCATTCGATAACTTTATACATTTCTTTTGTATCAAAATAATATAAAACTAAATATTCAGTAATTAGTCATTATTCAATATTATATACTCTTACTCATTAAATTCACTAATTATAATTATAATACAATAATATATAAAGATTTATAGTGATGATAAGCGCACATACAAATATTTAAATTGTTTCAAATCAAATTTAAATTGTTTTAATAATTACTAATAAATATTATTTATTGGATATAGGAGTGGCATTATTGGGAATGGATGCGGTTCACTTGTGAGTATTTTACACCGGCCCTTGCTGGCTTTCTTAGCAAGTTGACAATTTGTCAAGATTTCCGTTGCGTCATAAAGTCAGCTTCTCTTCTCCTCAGCTCATCCAAGCGCATCGCATTCACTCGAAGGTCCACTTATATACGTATTATATATGTTCAAATATATATCTTATTCCCCATTTTGTGTGTGCCGGCAATTGAACAAATTGCCAAGCGCACCAACCACCCACGAACGGCGAGCCTGAGCTCATAAATAAAATGCCAGAAATCCTAATTGTAAAAGTTTTCATTTTTATGACAAAATTATACCAATATATTATGGGCGAAGACCCGACGTCGACCCACCACCCACATAGCTCTTTGGTAGCTCGTTAGGCCAATAAAAAAGACGGAAAGAAAAATGAAATCAATGGCAGGGCAATTCCCGAACCAGCAGCGACACAAAGTGCTGTGAGGAATTTCGAGCAACAATGAAAACCTAGAAAAGCAAAAGGAAATCCCACAATTCACAAACAACAATGGCAAATAAATTAAATTAGTCGCAAGCATATTTCAAAATTATATATGTATTTACCAGAACAGGCTCATCCACGATCTGTGTATATAAATCGTTCTATCTCTCTCGGCGGGGGCCAAGGATGCAGGCCAGCAAATAAAACATAGAAAACTGGGGGCGAGAGACATTTTTATATTTTATTTTATGTATGCCGTGGGCGAATGTTACATAAAACTCGTTTATGGCAAAAAGGGTTGGGTCCGAAAATTTTACGACAGCCTGCTCGCCAGAGCTGCAACTATCTGTCTATCCGGCACCCTGAAATTCAGTCAAATTGCCTCCCAAAGGGGGAAGGCATATAAAAATAAGCTTTTCTTTCTCCCGGCTTTTTTTTATTTTTGGGTCGCACCTTTAAAGGAGTCTTCTACAAGGACCAACTCCCGATATACAAATACAGATACAGATACAAGCTCACGGATACTTATACAGCACCCACACATGCAGACACTCAACTGAACCTAACGACATAATAAAACCGGCATTTTTATGCATGTCTGAGTAACTTCATGAGCCAGACCAGACCGTTTCCCCCAACCACCCGCCACCCACCGCCACGCCTTGCAGGATTTTCCTGCTTTTCGCTTCCAGTGCAGACAGTCGGCTTTTCTGTTTCAGGTTCACTGGAAGCCATCTGCGATTCCCGTGGGTTTGGGTTTGGGTTTGGGTTCACGTTCACCCACAGAACGTTCGCTTCAAGGAGCGATTCTGCGCACTCTTCCCTCGCCTTTCTCCCGAGTTTTCTCCGGTTCTCCGGCTCTCCGCTGAATTGCGAGAGCCTGCGCAGTAGAAAGGCGTGTCACAGGAGCAGCCGGAAAACAAAGGAAAACCGATGCAACAACAGCAACAATCGCCGCATTTTGGGAAGGTCGTTTGCCAACAGTTGTAAAATGGCCCAAGCCGCACAGCTGGACAGGCGAAGCGAAAGAGACGGAGCTAGAGCGGGCGAAAGAGAGCGCACGACACCCGCAGA